AAGCGAGCACGCACTTCGCACCCCGCCAGAGCAAGACACGGCTGCGCAAGGGAAGCGGTGCGGATGGAGCCAGAGGGACCAGGAAAGGCTGCAAGACTTCACACGCTGCACAGAGGGATGCAGCCCAGCCGGCGCAGCCCGCTGCCACCTCGCCTCCTTCCTCCAAGGAAACCGTTCCTCTGGCTCGGTTTGGCACAAACGCTGGCTCAGGGCACACCCTTGGATGCCACTGAATTTGGAAAGGACATTTGGCAACACGGCTGCGCTCAAGGCCCCAGCTCCACTTCTAGTTGGCAGATTTTATCGAAGACAAGAGGAGAAGCACACTGTCCTTTCAAAACTACTTCAAGGGAAACCTTTCTCAGAGAGGGAGCTCAGCGAAAATGACTGGAACAAACCAGGTTTCATTGTCACTTTGGGACGGGGAAGCGGGAGCACCACGGGCACCAGGTGCGGAGCCCACAGCCCTCTTGGCATGCGCTGCAGCCTGTGGCAAGGGCAGGTGAGGGCGGTGAATATGCAGCGATGGAGAAGGGCCAAAGGAAACACATCGGAAACCCACTGGAAACAACAGGCTCCCAGAAACGAGCATCTCAAGTCTGTAGTTGTAAGCATCAAGATACAGCTTTGCTGTAATGCCATGAAGAAGTAAACTTTGAAAGGTGTCTACGAAATGCCCTGACTACAGAAAAGCAGTGCTCTGGGACCTGTGGATGTACACTTTCTGTACAAATGGAAAAAAAAATCATGCCAGCCAGCATACCATATAAAAAAAGAAAAGGCGAGAGACAAGACCTTCAGGCGACCAGTTCTTCCTCGCCGACAAAGCAGACACCTTCCCTGCAATCCTGATAGTCTGCAGTTTTATTTTTGGCAGATTATCATTAAAATGGTCTTTATGGCTTTAGAGAGAAGCCACTAAGCTGCACGTTTTGGTTGAAGCGGAGAGTGCGGGTGTGCGGTTTGCTCTGGATGAGGGGACATCACAGAGAGAGGCCTTGCCACAGCTCTGCTCCTTCCATCGTCCCACAAACGCTGCGGGTTCTACTGGGCTCTCTTTAGTGTTCTCATTTCTCATCAGCAAGTCACAGAGTTCTGGTTGCTAACCAGTCCAATCCCAGAGGCAGAATAAAAAGTCTTTGTGAAGACCTAGAAAAGCTTCATGTTTCTAACAAAATCAAATCCAAACACGTGCAAACACTGTTCCTGGTTTGACGTATTTTGTTCAGGTTCCACCACCAATGCACTGGAATTTGCTTTCCCTGCAGGGCGATTTCACTCCTCAGCCACTCTCCACCTTTCAGTCTTCTCAGGAGTCTTGACAAGCTATCCCTCCATTTTCGTCTTCGACATTTTTCCTATGCACATCCTTCCTGCCCTTCCCTCTTCCGCTGTCACACCCTGTTCCTCTACAGCTATTTTCGGAAAGCAAAGACGTCCCGTGTTTTCAAGCCTCTCTTGCCTTCGCTTCCTGGTTTAGGAGAAGACACTTCCGCCAGTCCCCCGTACGGGCAGCTCTCAGACGCCGGGTGATGGCCAGAGCACTCCACGGCGGGGATGAAGCCACTGTCCCACATTCCTGTGCCACAGAGCTTGCAGAGGTCGTGCAGGCTGCAGGGGATGCGGGGCAGCAGGTGGAACTGATACAGCAGGCTCCTCGCCTAGAGGGGAGAGAGACAAAGTCATTCCCTCCTCACCGGGGGCGGCACGCGGAGAGCACAGGGAGCAGCCTCCGCTTTGGCAACCTTACAAGAGTCGAAGCTTCAGCAGCGAGCATCCCCTCCGAACACAAGCCTGAAGGTGAAGAGAGGCACTGGGTATGCTGCCAGGTCATGGGAGCTGCCGCACGCTGCAGCACACACCCCCAGCCCGAGACAGACAGGGGACCGCGGCGTAGCGACGAACAGCGCTGTCTGTGTTCCCCTGAGCACGTGCGAGGGTCATCCCAACCGTACTGTCACCTCCTCAGCACTCTACAGCCACCTCTTTTTTCTGCAGCACTTGTTCCCAGGCAAACAGCAGCATCCTACCCTCCCAGGCTCCAGACAAGCAGGGGGATACGGAGATGCAGAAGATGAAGCATCAGTCCCTGATTTTCTCAATGCTCTGCCTCACCTCTCAGACCCGAGACCCAGCCCACATCGGCACACAGGCATTTACCTTCCTGAGTACAAGTTCTCCGTTCATGTGCATAGCCAGGTTGCCGAAATGCAGCAGCATCTGGTCAGTGGCCAGCTGCTGTTCGATGACGTCGTCCCCATAAATCACCACGATGGCCACACAGATGAAGAGGTGGAAATAGTCAGTCTGCAACGAGAAAACAGGGGCTGGAGTACAGCAGGTGGAGGCAGAGGTCTGACTCAGCCTCCCCACCCTCCACCAGCACGTCCTTAGCAGAGATTTTGTGCTCCTTCCAGTTTTGCCTAGTGGTATTCAGAAGGTGAGTTCTTGGTGAATTCTGAATCCAAGGCTCCTGCCCTTAGAGCACAGGAGCAAGGTTTGGACCTCAGCTTTCAAACCAGACTAGTGATTTTGGGGAAGGCATTTTCCAGCTGTGGAAGAGAAGTCTGAACTTCAGAAGTGGATGTTCAGCACTTTCTGAAAACCGTCCTAGTGAAGCCTGGACATCCTCAAGTAGGAGAGGCAGGTGTCCATCCTCCTGCTACACAGATAAACCTCTTCGACAGGCACAGACCCTCTGTAACACCTACTTATTTTGGATACTATTTTACTAAGAGCCTTTATGGAACTTCTGCACCACCTGCTGAGTCGGTGAGGATTCAGCAAAGGACACACTGCCGCCCCGCGCGCGCTGCGCCCGTCTCCAGATGTCTAACCTGATAGTGAGCCCAGCACGCCTCCCACATACGCAAAGCCTCAGCATCTGGAAATTCACGTTTAAAGCAGAGGAGGATCCAACGGTGACAGAAAAGCATCTGCAGGCCATCCTCTCCCAAGGAAGCGAGGTGCTGGTAGAAGCGCGGGTGCATGAGCCGCAGCAGCTCCCGCAGGTACATCTGGAAAAGATGCTCTGAGCTGAGCCACTGCCTCGTGCACAAGGACTCGCACTGCTGTCACCCACCACCCCTGGGAGACCCGCACCGCCTGCCAGCCCTGGCCACAGGTCTCTGTTCTCAAAAGAGCTCCAGCTTTATGGCCTGTTTATCACAGAACAGCCAGGAGCACGCTTGGATCTATCATTAAAGGGCAGGGCTCGCAGGCCACAGCAGCTATGTCACAAGGAAGGAGGGAGGGTGAAAAGAAGTCTCACGACAGCTACACTGTGAAAAGAAAGAAGGGGAGAGATTCAGGCTGAGGAAAGCAGCTCGAGCTGTAAAAATGAGAGAAAAGAAAGGACATCGCTATCTCTGGCAATATTTCATTTCAACAGAGGCTGAGCAATATGGAGGTGATTTTGGAAAGCCTGACTATACAGGCACGTTACAGTGCATAAATCTGTACGTTAACTAACTGCACCTCACCAGCAGCCTCTCATGGGGCTTCCACCACACATTTACCACTTTAAACTGGTGCCATCATGACCTGGACAGGATTGTTCCGGTTTAGAATGGATTTTCCAGGACCCTAACCAGAAAACAACTGACATTCACGTTAAAACCTAAAAATGTTCCCATTTTTAAACAAGATCACCTTATTTTAAGAAACTCTGTCACATATATAAGGCTTTTCATTTGGACATAATTTAAAACAACTATTAAAAATCTCAAGACCTTAAAAAAGAAGCCCACAAAGGAGAGGGCTGCAGCTCAATCAGCTCCTCTGCCTCATTCACACCAAACGCAAACGTCCAGAGACAGCTCCCACACAGAAGGTGCTAGAATCAGGACAAAAACGAACCAGAAAGTCTTCACCACCTGAGAGAAGTTGAAAGAGAAAGCAAGCAGCATCCTAAACACATCTGATCACAAAAGATTCCTTGAACCAGCACCCTTTAGCACAGCCAAGGTAACTTTACTCTGACAAATTATTGGCTATAGCTGCCTCTGGAGTGTCCCAGTCACTCTGGAACAGTTTTATCCATCAGGTGTTCTGCGGCTTTGGAGTGTGCTTGGGCATGCTGGAACCCAGCAGCCCAGGTAACCGCTTTATGGCATTCTGCTAATTTGACTGGGGAGGGAAGGTGAAGCCAGGGCTAAAGGGAGCTCAGCATTCAGCCTCACCAGCTGCTTCTCCATATCCTCATCCCGGGGCGAGCTGAAGAAGATCGTGTTCTGCATCAATCCTACAAAGCACCAGAAAGTATCTGACTCATCCAGGACCTCTGCCAGGAGTGGGGCAACCAGGTCGGACATCCCCTGGGAGTATCCAATTGTTGGGTTAAATACTGCATAGTTCAGCAGGATCCTCCTGGAGAAGAGATGCAGATGGAGAGGTGAGATACGGAGAGGGCACGGCACAGAGAGCGCACGCCACAGCTGACCGCAGTGCCTGTTCCCCTCCACCCCAACTCCCACCACACCAGCTGAGTCACACGAAGCGCAGAACAGCAACAGATCCCTCCTGCCATCTAAGAGATTGACTTGCCACTGCACTCGGAGGCTTGTGAACTTCTGAGAACCTCTGCAGCAGGTTGCACCCCACAGAACCACTTTTCCCTACAACAACTGTATCTAAAAGCATAGCAAAGACACACTAGCACTACACCTAACTGGAACTCTCCTTCTTTTTAAGGATGACAGCATTTTGCATCAATCCAGAGAGGCTCCTGAATGGGCAACAAGAACTCTGAGAGCACACAGCAGCCTAAGACAGTGGATTTGACAGCATCAGATCCTTAGGCTCCTGCTTTCCAACCATGGCACAGCCCACTGGGAGCAGTGCAGTAGGAACAGGCACCACGCTTCATCTCCAGCACAAAGACACACGACCCTGCTGTAAGGTGCTTTAGCACATACAGATAAACCCTGCTGCGAACATCAGTCCAGGGACATAAACTCTAGGAGAAGGTTTGGCAGACACAGACACCAAAATACAGAAAGAAAAACAGAATTTAAAAAGGCTGACAGGACAGAAATGAAGGGCTTATGGGAAGGGAGAGCGGATGCCTACACATCCACGAGGCTCCAGTCGTACTGTCAGATGGCAGCCAACTGTTTTGCAGGCACACATTTACAAGTCACACACCCATGAAGCAGACCCTGGTGTGCTCGTCCTCAGCCCCGTCAGGAGAACCACAGACCCAAGCAACCGCCCCCCGCCCCACTGCAGCGCCCGAGACCCTCCCACAGCCACAGAAGGCTCCCACCCTGTGCATGCCTACGCATGCCGGGAAGCCAGGTGATGGGCGCAGGGTTATTCTACCATGCAGTCAATGGCTAAAGCAGCCGTGAAAGAACTGGGGAAGAACTGCTTGGCCTGCGTCACTTGGTACCAGTCACCATCTGCACGGTGCTCCTCAGCATTCCCAAGGCAGCGACCCAGGCAGCCCGGGCCACAGGGGCTTACCCAGTTCTCTAAACGTTCAGCAGGACAAGCTGTTTGGGACACTACAGCAAGACACTTCACCTCATAGTTTCCACATTTGGGTTGTCCTCCCCTCGAAAGAACTGGTTGCTGCGGTCCGTCCTCACGACATCTTTATCTACTGTGAACTGTACTTTACGCCAAAAATCCTTCTGTTCATCCGGAGTCATCGAAAGCCTGAAGATTGAGCAGCAACAGGAGTGCGTTGGCAAGAGAGGAATATGGCTGACCCAAGTAACAAACAGCCTTCTTTCAGCTTCAGTTTTCAGAGAAAAACTACTTCTATACAGAGCTGTCTCATCACCTGAGAAACAGACAAGCAGGTCTGCCCACAACTGCAGACCTTCTGTCCAAACGGATTACTAGAAGGAGCCTCCTGGGTTACAAGCGGGATGACATGGTGTGTTTTCTGCAATAAATTCCACTTCAGAAGCAGCCAGACTCTGCTCTCCACTGCTCCTTGCGGGTGGCACACCAGAACTCACCACTCGGTTTTGATTGTCTCCTAATTAATAATACTACTGTCCCTCTCCAGCTTAAATGTACCCACAAATAGTTTACAACACGCAGATCTTGCAGTAGTAACTTCCTTGAATTGGACATCCCTTCTTCTTCCCTATTGTTACATCCAGACGTATTTATTAAGAAACGTAAGATTCCATTTTCACCTTCAGTGTTCTAAGCCGAGCACACTAAGCTTGTAGTCTTGCCTGCAAGAAAAGCTGCCCTACGTGATACTGACGAGCCTGCTTCAAAAACCCAAGTAAGATAATATTTGAGCCATATGGTATTAGCTCCAGACCCTCCAGAGGAAAGCTGTGCCTGATACACCTCCTCCACCACCCCTCTCACTTTACTCCAGCCAGCATCTCCTGAAGCGAAGGAGGCAGAGGCCAGGGGCATCACTGTGATGCCAGGCCTGAGGAGAGAGGAGCAGGGGAGGAGGAAGCTGGTCCCTTACCTTTTCTCCTGGATCTCGAAGTATTCCTTCCTCTTCTGCAGCCTCAGTGCCTCCCTCTCCTCCGAGGTGGACTCGTAGCTGTAGTAGCGCAGCAGAAAGGGCCACACCTCCCCCCGGATGGAAACATCAATCCCACCAAAGAAAATGGCCTGGAAGAAGGAGCAAAAGTTACAACTGGTAGAGTTTTAACATGCCCAAAACCAGCAACAAGCAACTGCCCGCTACTATGCTTTGGTGGCTCTGCAGTTCTTTCCTGACAAGTGACGCCTTGATTCAAGTTCCTGCAATTTGCACATGTTTAGAGGGAAAGTGCTGGCCTTCTATTCCCAGACGAGACACAAATCGGGCTCATTTCAATGTCAATAACCCCCCCTGGAGAGGGTCTATGATTAACGTGTCGTTCTCATGTCACGGCTTAATCCCCAATCTTGGAGGCACTGCATTTCACTGCAAACTTCTCTTTCAGGATGCGGACCCAGTGCTCCCCCACAAGCCCTGCATTATTTCCTACAGTAATCTCAGTTTTTCTTTCTTTGATTTGTTCACACTGCATTTTGAAGACACTTCGAGCACTGGACACTCTGGTTTACGGATTCCAAGGGCAGCAGAAGCCGGACAGCTCGGACAGCTCGTCCTCCTGGGTGGGAGAGACGCTCTCCCATCCCGCCCGCAGCAGACTCACCCGCAGACCCAGCGAGACCTCCAGCCAGGCAACATGCGCCCGTCTTTCGACTCTCCGACACCCAGCTCCTGCCCCCAGCACGAGAGCAAGCCCTCGCAGCACCCACCACGGCAGCAGCCACCCCTCACCTTCTGCAGCTTGTACTCCTCTTCCACCTGGCCGGACTCGTTCAGGTGACGGAGCCAGGCAGACACGTCCAGACGCCTGTACGTGTTCTCCTCCGGGTGGGTTTCCGAGGAGGGCAGCTTGGGACGGCGGATGGAGAACTGCATACACGTCTTCTCATCGGTCAGCTGCTGGATGGGGGAAACCAAACCAAAAAAACTGGTGGCAGGAGCCAGAGACAGCAGCAGAGTATGAAACCCAGCAACTTGCAGCGCAGGAAAACCTTTCTGCGTGGTTCGTGTAGGACTAAGCACTGAGGCACTGCACTTGGGGAGGTGTGGTTTTGTTTTTTTTTTAAATTCCAACCATTACAATAGCAAGAGTGATTAGAATAATTAAAAATCTGAGTACCGCAAAACAGCGTCACCTTAAAAAAAATTGTTTCCATTCCTCCCCCAGTCTTATCCCTGACCTGAAACTGAATTAATGCTGCTTACAGCAAAACTTCACCCCATATACAAAGGGATTGCTGTTAGGCAAGCGGGGAACTGCACTGCCAGCTCTCTAAGGGCACTCATGATCCCAGTGCAAGACTGCAGCTGACATTTAATTTAAAAATCAAAGGTTGTTCAATGCAAAAAGTGAGCCCATGCGACCATAATAAGAAAAGCAGCAGGGGGCTCTGTGGGAAGGATGGAAATTTAAAAATCACTGTTTCTAATAAGCACATACAGTATCTTAAACAGATAATTAAAGAGCTCTTATCACATTTGTATGTAGATTGAACAAAATATGGCAAGATGCCTTGTCAAAACACTTTCCAGTGCAGTGTGCTACGCTTCACAAAACGGATGAAAGACTCCGACAGGATTTCAGACCTACCACTGCAGACTTCGCAGCCACCTCGCACGCCTAACGCCCCGTGCTGACCTGTCAGGTCTAGCAAAAGAACTATCTAAGCAAGTCTGCTGGATTATCTTCCCCCCCGTTCCACCAGAGCAGGAAGGGATGAGGATAAGAAAGCACAAGAGAAACCTTGCATCCGACTCGCGCTTGCATCCTAAACAACCTCCAACACATTGTAGCTTTCTGCCTGGCTTGGTGACATGAACTCATGGCTTTGTTTCTCCAGTACGCTCCCCTGGCTAAAAACCCCAGCGCGAAGGATCTGCTGGAAAACCTCTCTCTGCTCCACGAGCCTTGCTCAGGTACCTGGTCCTTGAGGTGGGTCTCTGTGCAGTACTTCCATTGCTGAAACACCTCGGACAGTTTATCCAGGCCACCATGGTGAAAATGGAAGATCTTGTACTGGCTCTCCCTGCTCGCAACCACCAGCTGTCCACAGGTGCACGCCTCATCGCTGCGGGACAAAGCAACGGGGGAGAACAACCTGCGTTTACTGCCCAGGATAATGAAGGGCCCAGCGGGAAGGGGGAACATCAGATGAGGGAGAGTGGAAAGCAAATAACAAAGAAGTGCAGCACCAAGCTGTCGCTTAAAACAGGGCGCAGAAGTAACTTTACAGCTCTGGGACTCGATGATCCTTATGGGTCCCTCCCAGCTTGAGACATCCTATGATTCTATGACGTGGCCACAGCGACCATTTTCCCCAAAAAGCTCCACTCGTGCCTGGTAACAGCACTCTTGTATCCTTCCACCATGTGAAGGAATTAAATTTTGTGCTCCCTGGAGAAGAAAAACCCAAGAAATCTGCCCCAGCAACATTCAGGCAGTACACAAAGCTAGCTGCCAGGGACGAGTGGCCTTGGTCACACGCAGCATTGTCTAAAGAAGCAGGGAGTAAGAGTGAAAAGACAGAGTAAAAATGTTTTTAATAACTTCTGTAATAATTTGAAAGCTAACCTAAGAGGCTATGAGCAGCAGGACCCTAGAGGAGCCCCGGTGAGGGGCAGGCAAGGGAGAAGGTACCATAGATACAGAGATGTTTTCCACACCTCCACGTCATTTTAAACATTTTTGGTAGGGTAGCTCAGAGCAACCTTTACCTTACTAGGGAAAAAAGTCCATTAGGCCCCATAACTACAACTCAGAGGCTCTCCTTGGGAAGGCTGACACTCGCTTCCTGGAGACAACCATCGGGGAAAGACTTCCAAGGGCTGCAGAAGCCACCTGCCTCCCCAGAGCCCAGCGCGCATTGACCACACACAGATACCATACGTTACCTGAAGAAGAGGCGAAGGGATCTCATTTGTCCCAGGTCCACTCTAAAGACACCACAGACCTGCTCGAGGGCAAATACCTTCTGCTGTTCGTCCCATCTGGTGCTCTGCATTTGCCCGTTATTCTCTGGGAACTGGGCACTGGTGTCGAGGCTGGAGGCAGAGCTGGTGGAGCAGGTCATGCGATGGTCACACGTGTCCCTGCAGACGAGAGCGTGGGGGGAGAAAGCACCGCAAGACATCAGCCGAAGATGGCTGCGGTTACGTGCATAACCACAGATGCTCCACATTAAAAAATCTTCTGTCAGAGCTATGAAACTGGAATTCAGTGCAGGTCTAAGGAGTCAATAACCGGCAGCCCACATAAGAGATTAAATTATTTTTATTTAAATTTATTCCCTACCATCCCAAAAAATGATCTACTTTTGTCTGTTCCTGAATTCCGCACAGAACCGAGGAGAGCGAAACCCATTCCTCAAAACACCGACTTTTGAGAAGGCAAAATCAGGCAGCCCAGCGTGGGAACAGCCCAGAGTCCTGCGACAAACAGGCTTCCCCCGCTCCCTCTCAGCAGCCCAGCGACCAGTCCGGGGAGCTGGTACGGCCGGGACTCGACCGCGCCCCAGGCCACGCCACCCAGCTCCGA